TTATTTACATAAGAAAAATATATTACTAATTCATACTTAAATTTTCATAAAAATAGATTATATCTAATAAAAAACAGAACATATAAGTTCTATAATCAAATATTAAATTAATTGAATATCCGACTAAAATGCAACATTATTCCTACTTGTAAATTAATTGTAAATTGCGGGTAATTTTTCTAAAGCATTATGGGATTTTCATGAAAATGATGGGATATCCGAGATTAAAAGGTGCATCTGATATTCATGACTAAAGGTTAAAGGTGTAACCAGTAATGAAAAATAACTTCGCCCTTACTTGTTATTTATGATTCAAGAAATTTTATAAACGTGTAATAAGTAAAAAAAATCGTTTTTTTTTATGCGATTCCTAAAAAATAAGTATCTATACAGAAGTACACATGCAAATAAGTTCGTAGAATATAAAATTAGAAAGACTATGTTATAAATAAATTAAGGAAAAGTTTTTACAGCTAGTAATATTATGTCATATATGAAACATTTTAAATTCAAAAAAAAATAAATAAATTCAAAAAACCTTCTTCTTCTTCAAAAAAAAACATAAAAACCAAGTTACAATTTTTTTAAAGTATTTAAGATTTTTTTTATTTTTGTATCAATTTTTTACTCTTTCAAATAAATAACAAATAAGCTATTCAATATAAAAAAACAAATTCCTCCTCGAAATTAGTACTGTCTTAAGTAAAATTATGTTTCAACTTTTAAAAAATAGTTAACTTACATGCTTGGCGATGAAGTTGAATAAAATAAGCTCGAACTTACTGTTTTCATAACTTTATAAAATATACCAGACCAACATGTATAACTAAAGTAAAAAAATTATATTATTTTGTAACGAAATTTTATATGTAAAATCAGTCATTCATGTGAATCGAATTAAAAGTCGATTGGTTAAAAAAATCTTGCAATGGATTTGATTCACTCAAATTAACGTTCTGGATTAAAGTCGTTAAGACAATAATTATGTTTTATTTAACTTTGTATTTTAATAACAGGAAATATTTTATTGTAGTATTATAAACAAAAAAACACTTTTGAAGTTTGTAGAGAAAATGTTTTTTTTCTCGAGATAATTGAGAAATAAAGTTTTATGTATTAACAATGCTTAATTCTCTAAAAAAAAAACATTGTAATTAATTTTCAGAGCAAAAGTTATTTCAAATTACATTTTCTATGTAAACAACGAATAATTGTTAGTAAAGATGAATCAAAAACACTAACTATACTAAAAATTACCTATTTTCAGTTATTCAGAGTTCGTGATGAACAAGACAATATTTCAAAAATTCGAATTACACAAATATTTTCTGTAAATTAAAAAAAAACGTATACAAAATAATAAAAGTTACAATTTGTGAGAAAAAACAGATCAAAGAAAAATGTCTTCCATAAAGAATATAAAGTGACAAGGCGACAAGAAGACTTGAGCCTAAATTTAAAAATAAAACTGCTAACTATTTTGGTAGTTTGACATAAAGAAAATAACTATAAGGTATTCTGACTTTAATATAAATGTTCCTATATTTCTTATAAAGTTGTAAATTATTCTTTCTTCTTAAAAGTTTTCATGTATTTATCATCTAAACTAAAATAATTTATTTTAAAGCAGCAACTAAAAAACAAATGTTCTACATTAAACTAGAAATATGTCTTTGAAGAATCAATTGTTTTACATGTAGCAACTTTTTTGATATTGATTGTTGAAATCAATATCATTTTAACATCTTTGATCGGGTAACGAATAACTAAAAATATTTAAAAATAATACAGAACACTTAAAATAAAAATGATACATAATAACAAAATTAATAGAATAAAAATAATTTAATTTTAAAAAAATTAAGGACAATAAGTAATGTAAAATTGTCAGGAAAGTAAGAATAATTTAAGTCATATTTTCTGTAAAATGTATTATAATTTTTCAATTTTACAACGCTTATTCGATGAATCATAATACTAAAATTTATACATCGGTACTTTTAAATGACCTTCTCATTGTAACATCCAACACACATTACCACTAAGTATAGCGTTAGACCGCAGTAACAGTGTTTATGCACGGTTTCTAAGTTAAGGGTACTACAGTAAGGACAAAGGCCAATATAAATGTTTGACTTAATTATAAATTACTATTACCCTGTATACTTTAAGTATGATTAATAGTTAATACATGTTTACAATACAAAATACTTAAAAGTACCTTGTTATGAGGTTCATATAATATTTCTTTAGTAATTTTAGGTTTTCGAACAGTAATATAGTTGTCTTAATTTTATATTAATACAGTATAACAAGTTTTCAACTAATAATCCTCGTAAAGATTGAAAAATTCTTCTTTAATTTTCAATTTGAAAATTCCTTTAAAGTAATTGTACATGCATTGTTTTTTTGATAAATGCTCAATTTTTTAATTGGAATATACATTTAATATGATAGTAACACATATAAAGACCATATGAGACATATTCATTTAAAATAAAATTTTCTAATTATTCTAAGAGAGAAAATGAATTTACTCCATTTGAAAATAATTATTAGCCAAAAACCTGTTTTTAATAGAATCATTTTCTGAAAGTTGACAACTTAATTTTGTTAGATTTGTAGTCAAATATGTAACTTATTTAAAAAGTAAAAGAATAATCAAAAATTCTTATATAAACATTACATAATAAACAAAGAGTCAAAGCCTAATTGGAGATTTTCCAAAAATATAACAATAAACAATATATAAACACAAAGGACATTAAATAAATCTTTAAATCACTAATTAGTTTTAAGCCAATATGCTATAACAACAATTCTGACACAGTCGTTTGTAGTTATTAAAGAAAAAGTCAAAAATTATTAAATAAAAACAATTAATTTAACAAAAAAAATTAAACATAATTAATTATATTTTTGGTTCACTTAATACGAATAATTTCAATATATATCAACACTTAATTAATTTAATATTAATGTAAAAACTAATTTTTAACAAAATTGATTTCTGTAATTTGATGTAAATAAATTCATTACATTTGTTTAGGGCTTTTTAAAAAGTGATAATAAATTATTTTATGTTATGTATTAAAAAAATTATTTTTCATATCAACAATTATACTCATTTAAAAAACTTTAATGTCTAATCTAAAAATAGGCAATAACAAGAAAATTTATCAATGCTTGCAGCAAAATGAAATCATGCATTGTCATAAATAGACTAATATACCGTATAACATCAACTACTAGCAAAATATATGAAGATAAAGCATAAAAAATTAATTTTCAAAATGGATATAAAATAAAATTAAAGATACTCGGTAAAATATTATCTAAAAAACATTTGGATGTAAAGAAAAAAGCTAAATTTTTTACTTTAATCTGAATAATTTAGTAAAAAAAACTAAAATACATTTTATTAATTTAACCACTATCATTAATTAAACTAAACTTTATGTTAAATATTTAACTTAAACAAGTTACGACTAAAAAGTTTCTCTCCCAATGATTTGTTTAAAAATGAAATTACATTTATTTTCATGATTTTCAATGTTTTCATTTTATCCGAACAAAAACATAACCTATAATACGCCTTTTTCGATCTCACTAAAAATAAAATCATTTTATGAATACTTCCATTTTTTAAATCCATTTAAATATAAAATATTCGTAACTTTTAATGAAAACTCAAAAACAATAAAAAATTTAAAAAGTTTTTTTTTTTGAGAAAACTAAACTAAATATTTAAGAAGTTTTTACTTTATCTTAAACAGAACAATATAAAAAGTAGTGACATACCTAGTGGAACAAAATTAACTGATAACTCTTGAACTAATTACACTGATGAAGAAGAAATTTTCATCACAAACGTAATCTTTACCAATTTTTCGCGCTGATTTTAAATATGCAATTATATTTTTTCTATCAGCTTTAGTTTTTAAGATGATAATTAGTAAGAAACGAGTAATTACACACAAAAAGAAAAAAGTATTACTGGTTTTAATTTTTTATATGTATATAATAATCTATATAAAATTTAAATCCAAAAAATCATGTTCAATAAATTTTTTAGTATTTTTAAGTTGATTTTTAACTTTTTAAAAAAAAGTTGAAATTTTTTTCCATAACTTTTTTTTTATTATCTTACAAAACATTAACATCACGAAATAGAAAATTTTATGAATATTTAAGAAATAATTGGGTATGTTATGGTATTGTTTAGATTGATATGGTGAGAAACTTATATAAACACATTAACAGAAATTTTACGAGATAAGTTTAAAACTTTGTTAGAATTACTAGTATTTTTTCATTAATATAATTAATCATTTTAATAAAAATGTAAGCAATTAATTCTAAGCACTGAGATTCATAAAGTATGTCTAAGTGTTTAAAAATATGGCACAGTTGACATTTTTAGATCTTAATTAGTTTTTATTTGTTTAAAAATAATAAAAAACATAGATTAAAATAAAATTTAACAACTTATCAGAGGAAAACGTGAAAACAAAATACTAATAAAAAAGTATATTTATAAAAAATTTCAGACCAATATTTCGGTAGTTTTGGCATTTTTTAACTAGTCGAGAGGAGTAGTGTAGTTCGTTTAAATCTAAAGATAAAAATAAATAGACTAGCGCTCTGTCTTCAGTCATTATATTAGAGTTAATAACTTCCAAAATATTGGTCTAAAAGTTGTTATCGACCATTTGTTTTCTTTATTAGATTATTATCTATTAAATAAGTTAATTAATTATGATTGTTGTTTGTGTACATATGTTCGAAAAAAATATAATTGACGCCTTTATAAGGTATACGGATGAATATAAAAAATACATTAAGATTAATAAATTGAAATATCATGTACTTAAAGAAACCAAAATAATAGATTCTCAATATTTTTTTAATTAGTTCATAAAAATGAATCACCCTATATATAATTTTTAAAAATCTGAATAAATAATCGTAACTCAAAAACTAAATCAAAATATTTGACTAAATTTAACTCACTAACGCATATCAGAAGTATTCAAGATTACTATTTAATTAGTAGATTAATTTTACATTTACGTGGCAAAGAAGACAACAACAATAAGCTACTCAATTTACGATTCTTGTCCTTTGCAGAAAAAGGGAGAGGCCGCTTTACACTAAATAACTATTGATCCATAAAAAAAACTTAGGAAACAGCATTGTAAAATAAACACAAATGCTTTGTGCAGCGAAAGGCCTTATGATGTGACTTAAAACAGAATAAATTACACAAATAACATAATTGAAATTGCCATTTTTAATTAATTAAAATTATACTTAGTATTTAATGTAAAAAATATTTTAATTAAATGAAAAAGTTGTATTTTTCGTAAAAAAATTAATACGACTTACATAAATTATTGCGAAAGAGAATTTTTTTTTTCTATAATTATTTTTTTCTTAAATAAGTTTGTCGAACAGAAAGGTTACTTACTTTGAATCCTTTATACCATTCTTTAATGGTTGCTTCGTCGTACCTGGTGTGCGACTTGAGGAAATCCATATCCTCTTTAGATAGTTTATCTTTGCTACCAAAACAGCCCATATTTCTATAAATGAAATATACATCTTTTTAAAAAGTAATTTATTTACAAATATATCTTCATGTATTTTATATAAGGTTAAATTTTTTAACATAAAAAGTCTTCAAAATTAGAAATAGTTTTCAGTTCACAAAAAACGCTATGATGAGTATAAAAGCATGTTATTATCACCCACAATTCATCACCGACAGTGGTAAATAGTGACGATCACGTGCTGCGTGTCAACTTAACATATTTAAATTGAAAACTTCCTGTAGAGTAGAAAAACTTCACGAGTTTTTGATTATCTATGACATTATAACTGTCAAAATTTCAATTTAAAAAAGGGAAAATTATTTTTTGAAAACATTGTTAAAACGAAATTTTAATTCATGAATGAGACAGAAAGTGATGGCAAGACTTGGGTATATTTAAGTGACATTTTAATATATTGTAATGTTCTGCACATTTATTCATATTTATTGATTGTAGGTATTCGTTCGTTATTATAGAAATAAATAATGAATGATATTCTAAACAGTAAGACACTAAGCATACTCACTATAAAATTAAATAAAATGAAATAAATTTAATCATTTTGGGAAAGCTAAAAAATATATATATATTTTTATGACTTTTTTATTTTATATAATTATTACTTAATTACTAATTAGTAATTATTACAAATAAATATGTGATAGAAAAAACTAAAGCCAGATTCGGAATTGGCGTCGAATTTCCATATGAAAATACATATAAAAATTGTAAACAAGAAAATGGTTGCCCTGTACTATTAATAATATATGACAAATTTTATTAAGTAGAATCTTTAATATTATTAATGAATTATGTAAGTACTTATGATACAAATGTGTTTTTTTTTGTGAAATCAAACTAATAAATTGGAAATTATTTTGACAGCCCCCTAAAATTGTTTATCATAAAAACTTAATAAATCTGGAAAGATGTAAACTGTAAACTCAGTTTCTATAAGTTTTATTTGAATAAATTATTAGGATCGCGTTTATGACATTTGATACTCAGTTACTTTGAGCAAAAACAGCTTTCAATAATTTAACTAAACGTTTTAACTAAAAGACGATAAAAATGTATGAATTGAAAATAGAAGCCAAATTCAACGACAAAATATTTTTGATAAATGAGTACAGAGTAATTACTAAATTAAAACTGAAAATTAAATTGCCATGGTTCTGAATACATTTTCTGTGACAATAAATAATTATACAATACATCTAAACACAAATTTATTTAATGTTATCAGAGTAATTAAGAACATTTATCACACTACAATGTATTACAATATTCTTGTCAAAAGTGTTAATTTATAGATTATATTTCATAAACAGAAATAACACTTTCTATAATTAATAAAAAGTTCAATTTAAAATCTAATAATTGAAATTAAAGAAATTATTATTATTATACATTTTGGCTTTTGGGTGGAGTAGTTATAATTAAAAAGCTAAACGTCTTAGTGAAAAATTGTCAGTATTCTAATAAGAATATTTATTTTAACAAATCACTAAGATCAATTAATAGAATTATAAGTAGGATTATTAAAAAAACAAAGCAATAATTTGGATAGTAACTAAAGAATATATCCAATTTTGTTTCAAAGGTAACATTAATTTGTACTACTAATTTAAATTTTTTTATTTAAAAAATAAGATATGAAAACATATTATTTATCGTAATACAAATGATTGATCACTCGTAGTTAATATTTAAATTGATTTTTAAATTTATAATTTTAATTTAGATTAAAATTTAATTTGTCTATGTAATGTAAACCACGACACAACGCAAACTTAATATTATTTGAAATGTCAATTACTGAATTTAACTGTCATTTTCCCAGTTTTTAAATTGCACTTAAAATGTAGCTTTATACAAACGTACAAATATAAATCGTTGTTGCCATTTATCTGTCAGGCAATCCGGAACAAGAGTGCAATTATTTATTGCTAATCTAATGTGGTAGTATACAACAATTATATTTTGAATATATGTGCCCATACTTAGAATACGAATGTTAAACTAATGAACTTGCACTGAGCACAATAAAATTAACATAACATTTGTTTTGGCTAAAGGGAGAACTCCTATGAAAATTTAATTTTATACTACCTGTAGCGACCATGGAACGATCGAGAATCTTCGCGATAGATAGGCAACACAAAATGCATATACGCGCGTATTTTCTCGGTCGCCCCATAAAAGAATATTCTAGAGCACTACACACTATAAAACGGCGAGACATCAGTCAATCAACCAATCAGTCATAAGTTAGTTCGCCACAAGCAGACAGCACACGTAGTGCATGCATATATTGTAAATATTCTAAAAGTGTTTAAATAATAAACAGTCTATCATTTTTCTCTTTTTTACGTAAATCGGTGTTTTTTATTTATTGTTTAATCAATACGCGAAACACCAAACTACCAATTAAACTTAGTAAAAACATATTGCTTATGTATAGTTAATATTTCTAGGTAGTTATTATGCCAATAAATGATATCTTTTATACAGAAATCTATGATAATTATTAGTATAATAAAATATAATTTATCTTTTATTTTACTTTTGAGATACGAATGATAAATTAACCNTATTAGTATAATAAAATAAAATTTATCTTTTATTTTACTTTTGAGATATGAATGATAAATTAACATGGTAGGTTCATAACATTAGCATATAGAACAATAATCATTACATGAGTGCCATTAATTGAGATGAACCTACTTATTATCCACTGAATATAATATTTAAATAATCAAAATATTTAATTTAATTAATAGAAGAAATAATTAAATAATAAATTTTACTTAAAAAGTTTAGATACATAATAATATCATGTCATGATTAACACTCAAATAAATTAATAATTAAAATAATGAATACTATCTAGATGAATTATAAGTCTTTAAAAATTTATGAAAAACTAGTATCATTTAGTTAATCCCCATTACACTATTTCCATACATAACTGAGCCTTGAATATTTCAATCTAATAGAGAATCAACTCTGATTTCTAATCACTTTTTAATATTACTCTTGTAAACCACTGATTGAAATTTTTCCTACGGATATCCAATGCCAACGTTCACTTATTAATAAAAAATTACAATACACGAAGCAGTCCATAAAGACAATTGAACAACAATCGACCACACAAGGGAGTATTAAAACAATAATGTAATCATGAAATATTGAAAAAAGAATTTTACAAGGCCATCGCGTGGGCGACGTTATTTCGGCAAAGGTAACTAACGTTCATTCTATTTATGTTTTTATCAAATTTTTTCTGAAACATTAACACGAATGAAATTCAAAAGTTTACTCTTTAAATTAATATTATTTCGACGAGTATCTTTATTCGAGTTCAAAAGACTACTTCGCTAATGGATATTTAACTTGTAGTCATTAAATGCTACAAGTTTATTGTAGTTTAGACAACATAAGATATAATAAGCGATTAATGATGATAAAACAGTGGCATGTCTACATAAAGAGCTACCCGAGGAAACTGCAGCAGAACACTATAATAAGGACGTCACAATTTGGGGACATATCGACCAAAGATGCGTTCCAAAAACATTTTACCAAAGTTCAAATAATACCAAGTAAATATAATTGGAACATTAATTAATATTGAACACATAACAATCACTGATATCAGATGGCTTGTAAATATAATTTTGTAATGACCATATATGTTATATATATAAATTTATACATAATACACTAGTTTTAAAGAAAAACTGTTTAAATTTATTTTTTAATGTATTAATGTTTCTGTATTTATCTTTTTCTAATTACTGGAATATATGAGAATTTCATTCGTGTAATTTCACTAAACTATAAATAATTTTAGTTTCACAGGTCTTTATCATTTCCGAAAAAATAATAAAAATAAATTAAATTTCTTTATGCCTTAAAAATTATTTTTATACATTTTTTTTACTTTGAGGGGAGTGTTTTTCATGTTTTCATGTTGTGATGGCAAATATGGCGCCAAATAAATATAGCTCCTGGGCATTAAAACCTAAAATACACTACTCCATATAAATTTATATCTTTATAATATTATGTATTAATAGATATTTTAGATTAATATTTAGGAAAATTAGAACATATAAAGCGATGTAATCAATAGATAATCGTGTCTGCATGTTAAATGTTTAACGATGTGTCTTATACGTCACTGCTTGGCAACCAATCAAAATGCTAAGCTTGTATTGGTATTTTATACGAGTGAAAATACTAACGATGTTATAAAATGAGAGTGATATAAGTGTTAACATTCAATAGAATGCCAACAATAAGCCGTATTGACTAAGAGTAAGAAGTTTTTAGAACATTACAAGGTTTTAATACTGAAAGTACATTGCGTAGTAATTGTATCCTGCTAATTATTATCGGGTAGTTATCTAAATTATCAACATATTCTACTATTTCTTTCTAGGAATTTGTTGGCGCTGTGGAAAGATGAAAGAAATTTCCTAGTTCCCAATTGTATACCCGTTGAAGGTTTATAAACTTTAAGCTTGTATTCTTTGCAAATCCAGTCATATAATATACAAAAACAGAAGGTTATATTTATTGAATTATATTATCACCGCAGAGTAAATATTAAATATACCGTATATGAACATAATAATCTGTAATATAAGTATAGTGGAATATTAAATGTAACTTGACTAAAAACCTATTTTAAAAGGCGTTGGTCAGAAAATAAAAACACGAGTAAAAAACACAATTTCCTGCTAGTAAAGAATTTATAATTTTACTTGTATGAAGTTTTTAAATAATCTAGTCTGGGCGTTTGGAGAAACACTGTCTTTAAATTTAAATTTAAAATACACTAGGTGAAGACATTGAAGACCTTGTCAGTTATTGTGGCACGTCACAATTATTTTCCGTCATCGTCGTATGAGATCGAACTTGACACACATAAAAAACGTAATTTAATAATCGGAGGATATACATGCGCCAAATTCGCA